TATTTTTGGTTTGTTTCTGTGATTGGATGAGTATTTTCGATTTGTTTCTGTGATTGGATGAGGAAGAAACAAATGTGGCTGGGGCTGGTTGGTTTGATTATAAATTGGTCCTTTATATACTAGTTTTTTCGTAAATAAAAGGAAGTGTGAGGATAAAATGGGAAGACCATGTCAATTTCATTAAATTAGAAGCGAGAAGCTCCCGCGGAAGTAAAGAAATGGGAGCTTCCGGGTTTTGCAAAGAAAGGCGAGAAGCTGAGCTTCTCAAAAGCTGCAGCAAGTTTTGGAAGCTGACCCGTTTGGTGCAGTTTGTGCTTTTCGAGCCAAAAAGCTCTTCTCACAATCTGCACCAAACAGGCTCTTAAATTTTAAATCTTCAAGTGCAAGACCTGAGAAGTTTCTCTTTCCTCTTACTTTTATTTTACATTGAGGATAATGTTTGATTTAAGTTTGGGGGAGAGAATAACTTTTAAGCATCCATTCTTACATTAGTTTGCATTCATATTTGCATGACATACATTTTCTTTTTTAGAAATTAAGGTATTTTTTTTTTTTTAAGTGTTAGTCCAATTAGTGTCAAGGAATTAAATATTCTTGAGTTGAAGGTTTTAAAACTTTTAAAATCTTTTAATCTTAAAGGAGATACAAAATCTGAAAAATAGCACCATTATAATGAAATTTAAGTTCATGAGTATTCCATTCTAATTGAGCACAAGTTTGCAGTGAGAAGTTTAGAGAGAAAACTTAATAGCACCTAAATAGCACAAAAAAAGAAAAAGAAACCAATACAAGAGTTTATTAATTTTTACTCCAATGTTTCTAGTGCTAGTCACTGGAGGTTAGGCATGAGACCCATGTCAACTTTTACGTCGAACGACGACTTAAAATATAAGTGTACAAAATACTTTGAGTTTATGACTTGTTGAGTAACTGAGTGCTTTCATTACAAATGTTAATATTCACATCAAAAGACAAGTGATAGCTTAGGAAAGAACGTGTTGTATGGCTGAGAGAAAAAAAAAAAAAAAAAAAAAAAGAAAGAAAAGTCGAATGTTTCGTAACCTTTGTTACTTAAGTATGTTTTTAGAGGTGTCTCTTCACCTAATGCCCTAATACCAACTGGTTTGGGAGTTATTGACAAAATGCTCGTTACATGAGTAACTTAAAAAGCCTAAAGAAACTCGACATATGAAAAAAAAAAAAAAAAAAGAGGGGAGAAATAATAAAAATAGTAATAAGTGCTAAGGTGTGAAGGTTTAAACTTGAGACTTCTTACTAAAAATTTCAACACACACCAAATTCTCATGGGCTAAATCTTTTAATAAGTGGTGTGAAGAATAAGATGAGTAGTTGATTTTAAGTAAGCATATAAAAACTCTTGAATATTTGAGACTTTGTATCTAATTGAACTTTAATTCCTAAATTTTTTTTGTATGCATATCATATAATTACATTCTTGCATTGGGATTTTGTGGATAAATTTGCTAAAAACCCTCACGAGACACAACTCGTCCATTAGGATGACCTAAGGGTTTAAACGCTTATTGCACATGCTAAGTGCAATCGTGATTCCGACGAAAGTGAGTTAAGTTTTATTTTTGTTTCTTTTACTTTTTTATTTTACTTGAGGATGAGTAAAATTTAAGTTGGGGAGAATTTGATGAGATGAATTTATATATATGTCAATGTGAAACTGTTGCCTTGATATTATTGATATTTGGATGAATTTTATGAGATTTTACTTGATTTTACATAATTTTTATTTTTTGTGTAGGAAAAAACTTAATTGGAAGAAATCATAATTTTTATGACTAAATTGCAGAGATCAGAAATTTAAGAATCAACTTGTGCAGAATCTAGAAGTCAGGAACCAAGACTGTTATTTTACCATTACAAAAATTGCTAAGAAGGCCAAAAAACAGACACGGTGGCATTGTGCGCTGAACAGAAAGTGTCGGCACCTCGTTGAAGGTGTTGACTCCTTAAGCTATTTTCACCAAATCCATGTTTAATTAGTTATTATGGGTATGGATCTCACTTCTATTCTAATTAGGGTTTTTAAAATCCTATAAATACCTATCCAAATTCAGAATTGAGAAAGCTTTAGGGGAGATAGTGACAACCCTCTTTTAGATATTCTTAGAGATCAAGATAGAAGATTCAAGATCCATCAACAATAGAAGATCTTAGGTTTTATTTTTCCTTAGATATTTTTATGTTAATGATTATAATTTCAGATTCTATTATTTTTATTATGAATTAATTTATTTTATTAAGACTATGATGTAACCTAATCAATTTAATATAGATTATGATTTTTATACTTTCAATTAAAATTATTTGCACGAGGTGCTTATATTATTGAATTTAATGCATTAAAAGCCTGATCATCTTTCAATTGATTTAGTGATTTATGCATGGACTTAAGAAAGAATTGCGTAAATTAGACCAATAATAATATAAACCGTGTTAGATTGAGACCGAGAGGTAATTAGCTCACATGTGATAGTGGAGGAAGAGAAAAGAGTTAGAAGCTCTCCCTTCTTAAGCTAGAGGTTTCCATAGAATTTAATACTCATTAGTTTGTTCAAAATCACATAGAGATATGATTAATTTAACAAACAAGTGAAGGATTAATTTGATTTGAGAAAACTAGTTAATTAATTTAGGAAAATCCATCATCACATGCAATAACAGTCAATAATTTGATAATCTAAAATTTATATTAATTTATTATGGTGAAATCAATGCCTTAATACTCCATATTTTGGTTAATTTTATTTTAATTGTTATTTTCTTTTAATTATTTTTTAATTAAACTTTCTTACTTTTCGATTGTTCAAATAAATTTATATTAATTATTTTGATACTTATATTACTTAGAGCACACTTGCTATGGTGATTTTAGTGCATCAAGATTTATCACCACTTTTTAGATTACCATCATAATTATCTTTTTCATTTATCTTTTTCATATAAATCTCAATAATTGAAAGTGGAGAGATGAATCTAGTGTGTAGTGTGTAAGACCTGCATGACCTGCATGTAAGTGTATCCTAACTCATATAATATATATATAGAGAGAGAGAGAGAGAGAGAGGAAGAAGAAGAAGAAGTTAACATATATTGAGAAGAAATGGCGACTAAGCTTGCCTCATTCAAAGTTAAGGTTCCAGTCTTGTCACTGCAAATTGTTGTTGCAGAACCCATGGTCTCACAAGCAGAGAGCCTACGTACCTGCATTTCAACTTGCATAAGCTTACTTCATTCCATTCATTCAGCGTATTTGCATAATACCAATAGAATAGCAAGCGAAGCAAGAGAACTTCATAAAGTGTACCAGAGCTTTATCTGCCATCATTTTCCTCATTGAGTAAGCAAGCCTACATCATAATCACATCAGAGAAGAACCAGAAGAAGAAGGAATATCTAGAGAGAATATGCAAATGAACATTTATAATCATGAACACAAGTGACAAATTAAATAACAATCAGAAGATACAGAATCTGCCAGATGAAAAATTAATTAATAGTCTGTTCAATAAAAGAATCCACCTCGATGGGAGGAAAGGATTGGACAAAAAATGTTATACCAAGATGAGCTCATGCGTAGAGCACTAGAAATTTAAAATAATTTCTTAAAGAGGAACAAACTTACGTTAAAGTAACAGCTAAGGGAAGCCCTTCGGGGACCGCAACAACCACAATAACAACCTAGAAGAATCAAGCATTAGCCACAGATACAAATACAAGATAAGAGTTCATGTACAAACATGAAATAGAAACAGAAGGAAGATGCACATACAGCAATAGTAATAATTTTAATGACTCCATCTATAGCTTTTCCAACTTTAGTTTGGCCTGCGGTGAACTGTGCAGTTCCATCAGCATTTTTTTCATGGCCAGTAAAGTACCTACACAAGATCAAATTTTAAAAGTCAGTCTGGACATTAGGCCAAGATCAGAATACCTGACTAAACCTGATTAAACTATAGGTGAGATTAGAATACCTGGCCAAAAGGACGACCAAGACAACAAATGCTACAGTGAGCCCAACAATACCAATGAAAGTTGCAACACCATTTAAGCGTACCTATAAAAGTACATTACAGGTAAACATAACATCTAAAAATGTAATTTCCATAAATCACCATTGAGCAAAAATAATAACCTGTAATGGTGTTTCTTCACCATTATCCTCAGAAATACTTGCCATAAGCAATCCCCACTCGGTATTAATCCCAACACTGGTTACCTGATTGTGGATTGGGAATGAAGGGGAAGAGGAGGGTAGGGAGGAGGGGAGAAGAGGTCAGTTAATAGCAGGTGAAGGCCAAACCAGATAAGCAAACAAATAGAAATTTCCAACCATTCAATAATTTCAAATTAATTCATGTTCATGCAATCACACGTTAAAAGATACTTAATTCTTGATGAAAAATAGAACTGCAGAAGAGTATGTTCAAATCGTAATGCAAACGAATGGAACAGGAAAGTAAATAAAAGAACTTATGTCACCAGCATAGTTCCACTGCCATCAGCGACTTTGCAGCCAGACATAAGAAATGGTTCCTTGGAATTTTTGTTGACCTAGAAAAGATGGTAATGAAAATTCTTAAGCATGCAAAGGGGAAACGAATAAAATAAATAAATAAAGCTAACAGATTATAATATTTACAATTTTGCTCTCTCCTGTCATGCTAGATTCATCCATGGCAAAAGAATGGCCAGAAATTAAGACTCC